TTTCATTGTCCCCAGCAAAAACACCCCCAAAGGGTTAAACCCAACTTCCCGTGGGCCGCTGCCGGACTTGGCAGTCCGGGGGGGGGTTTTGCCGTTCATAACGGCACCCGCCATTTTGGATTGCGCCCTCCCGGGGAGTGGCAGCACTGATTCCGGTGCCAGCGGGGTTCCTCCGGACACAGAGGAACACCAATCCTGAAAGGGGACCTGGTGAGGTCCCGATCACAGGGAAATTGGTAAGCAAGATGTCAATCCTGACATCATTGCTTACTATGTGAAATCTGTAAAATGACAAGATCCATGGTCGGGCTTTTTCACAACAGCCTTGTACCATGTGAAAAGTGTGACCAATCACAGCTTCACAAAATTCCCCAAGGCTGCAAAAATGCAGCCAGAAGAAGGAGAAATGTTTGCTTTTACCCCTTTTATGTATTAAAAAAATCATGCAAAAAAAAAAATATATATTCATCACCCCCCCAAGTAGTACGTGTCACCTGGTGACACTGTACTTCTAGGTGACAGTAGGGTAAAAAAAAAAAAAATAAAAATAATATAAAAAAAAAAATAAAAATGAAACACAAAATGTATATATTAAATTTTAATTTTATTTTACAAATTGTGTTTTTAATTTTTAGAAAGCAATGAAGGTGTTTTTCTTTTTTTTTTTTTTTTTTAATTTTTGTTTAAATATTTGGCTCAGAAAAATCTTCTTTTAGCTTTTCGTCTGCTGGTGTGAAAAAAAAGGCGCAGGTTTTTTATTTATATTTATTGACCACGAAAAAAAAAAGATGTTTCTGTCTAAAATCCTTACCTGTATATAAGCACGAAAGTTGTAGTTTTTTTTTTTTTAATTTTTGCTTTTTTTTTTTTAAAAATTTGGCTCAAAAATCAAACTTCTAGCTTTTTCGTCTGCTGGGGGGAAAAAATTGGCCAGGTTTTTTTTTTTATTTTTTGACCAAGAAAAAAAAAAAAAAAGTTGTTTCTGTCTAAAATCCTATCCTGTAATAAAGCACTAAAAGTTTTTTTTTTTTTTAATTTTTTTTTTAAAAATTTGGGTCAGAAAACTATTTCTAGCTTTTTCGTCTGCTGGGTGAAAAAAATTGGGGCCCCGGTTTTTTTTTTTAATTTATTGCCACAGAAAAAAAAAATAGTTTCGTCTAAAAAACCCTTTTCCGTCTAAATGCACGTAGAAGGTGTTTTTCTTTTTTTTTTTTTTTTTAAATTTTTTTTTTAAATATTTGGGTCAAAAATCTATCTTCTAGCTTTTTCGCTGCTGGGGTGAAAAAAATTGGCGCAGGTTTTTTATTTTAAAAATTTTTTTGGCCACAGAAAAAAAAAAAATATGTTTCTGTCTAAAATCCTTTCCTGTAAAAAAATGCAAGTAGAAGGTTTTTTTCTTTTTTTTTTTTTTTTAATTTGCTTTAAATATTTTGGCTCAGAAAATCTATCTTTTAGCTTTTTGCTTGGTGTGAAAAAATTGGCGCAGGTTTTTTATTTTATATTTATTGGCCACAGAAAAAAAAAGTATGTTTCTGTTAAAAACCCCTTTTTCGTATATAAGCACTAGAAGTTTTTTCTTTTTTTTTTTTTTTTTTTTTTTGCTTTAAATATTTGGTCAGAAAATCTTCTTCTAGCTTTTTCGCTGCTGGTGTGAAAAAAATTGGTGCAATTTTTTTTATATTTTTGACCACAGAAAAAAAAAAATATGTTTCTTCAAAATCCCTAATTATATTATTAACTTTCTATTATATTTTGTTATTTACTCTTATTTTTTTTTGTATTAATTCCAAACAGAGTACGCTTCTCCTTTCTCCTTTTTTTTGTTTTCTTATAATTTATAGGAATGTGCTTATATTTTTTTTTTTTTAGTATATTCTTAATAAAAACTTATATGTAGAAAAAAATTATAGCTAATATAGTTCTTTTTCTATTTTCAGTTGTAATTTTAACATGTACTTTAGTTTTTTGTAAAAATTATTATTTATCTATAATTTATTTTTTCATTTTATATTTTTTTCACTATAGTCTACACATTATGTTTCTAGTTTTTTTATAAAAGTTTCAATTTTACGATTTTTTTTTTTATTTTTATCCTTTCTTCTACATTTTTAGCCTTGTGATATGTTCTTATTTTATGGTCTGGTTTGTTTTATTTTAAGACATATAGTCTTTGTTTAACTTTTCTTAACCAACCAAAGTGAGGTTTTTTTATTTTTCTTAAACCCCAGCAAGATAATTGGAGGTATTTTTTAAATTGTGTGGGTTTTCTATATTTTTATTGTGTAAATAAATTTTTACTATAATTAATTTAAATTTTGATAAAAAAAAAAGCCCTGAGAAAATTTATATTTTTGATACATACTTTATTCATTTTTGTTTAGATCTGAAATTAAAACTGCTATTTTATATAATCATTTTTTTCAAGCGTCTATTTGTCAGTATTTATAACAGGGTAAAAAAAAAAAAAAAATTTATTATCTATAATATTTAAAGAAAATTATATTTTTATTTTTTTTTTTTTTTTTTTTATTTTTAGATTATTATTTTTTAAAACCCCTTTTCCTTTTAATGCAAGTAGAAAGGTTTTTTTTTTTTTTTTTTTTTTTTTAATTTTTTTCTTTAAATATTTGGCTCAGAAAAACTTTTTTCTAGCTTTTTCGTCTGCTGGTGAAAAATTGCGCAGGTTTTTTATTTTATATTTATTGACCCAGAAAAAAAAAAAAATATTTTCTGTCTAAAACCTTATCCCTTTATAATGCAAGTAAAGGTTTTTTTTTTCTTTTTTTTTTTTTTTTTTTTTAATTTTTTTCTTTAAATACTTGGCTCAGAAAATCTATCTTTTGCTTTTTCGTTGCTGGGGGAAAAAAATTTGGGGCAGGTTTTTTTAAATTTTTATTATTTACCAAAAAAAAAAAAGTATTTTTCTTCCCAAAACCCTTATCCTTTATAAAGCAAGTAAAAATTTTTTTTCTTTTTTTTTTTTTTTTTTTTTTTTTTTTTTTTTAAATTTTTTTTTGGGGGCTCAGAAAATCTACTTTAGCTTTTTCGTCTGGGGTGGAAAAATTGCGGTTTTTTTTTTTTATTTTTTTGCGCGAAAAAAAAAAAATATGTTTTCGCTAAAACCCTTATCCCGTTATAAGAAGTAAAAGGGTTTTTTTTTTTTTTTTTTTTTTTTTTTAATTTTTGTTTTAAAAATATTTGGCTCAAAAAAAAATTTTTTTATTTCTAGCTTTTTGTTGGGGGGTAAAAAAAATTGGCGCGGGTTTTTTATTTATATTTATTGCCACAAAAAAAAAAAGTATGTTTTTGTCAAAAAACCCCTTTTTCCCTGTTTAATGAAAGGGAAGAAGGTTTTTTTCTTTTTTTTTTAATTTTTGCTTTAAAATTTGGTCAAAAAGTCAAATTTCCCTAGTTTTTTCGTTTTGCTGGTGTGAAAAAATTGGGAAAGGTTTTTTTTATTTATATTTTTTTGACCACAGAAAAAAAAAAAGTTTTTTTTTGGGTCAAAAAAACCCTTATCCTGTTATAATGCAAGTAAAAGGTGTTTTTCTTTTTTTTTTTTTTTTTTTAATTTTTTCTTTAAATTTTTGGGGTCAAAAAATCTATCTTTCTAGCTTTTTCGTCTGCTGGTGTGAAAAAATTAGTGCAGGTTTTTTATTTATATTTATTGCCCGCAAAAAAAAAAAAAAAGTTGTTTCTTTTAAAAAACCCTTATCCAGTTATAATGCAAGTAGACGGGTGTTTTTTTTTTTTTTTTTTTTTTTTTTTTTAAATTTTTGCTTTAAATTTTTTGGCTCGGGAAAAATCTTTTCTTCTAGCTTTTTTGTTGTGGTGTGAAGGGAAAAAAAAAAAAAAAAAAAAAGGCGAAAAAATTTTTTTAGAAACCCTTTAGCACAGCGGGCCCCTGGCAACTTTATTTTTAAATTGGAAAAACATGATGGGTTTAATGCAGCGAACTTCCCCTTTTGGCGGGTCACCAGGACCCCTGATGTGAAATTGTTTTTTCCCGGGTTTGGGGTTTCCCCGCTTTTTGTTAGGGGCGGGGGACACCCCCGGAGCAGACGCCCCCGGGCACAGGGTTTAAAACAAAGAAAAAGTAAAAAAAGATGATGCTGCTTTTTTAAAATGCCATTTAAAGGGAAAAATAGCATCTTTCCTGAAGAGGGGGAAAAGGGTTCGTATGGCTAACCCGATAAGCAGAAAACTTTGGGAATTTTTAAAATTTATACTCAGGATTTTTAAATTGATATCGGGGCCGCCCCGGGTTAGAAATGTGCGGTGCGGGGAAAGGACCCATCGGGGTCCCAAAGTGTTGCTGTGTCGCGCTCTTGGAGTTTCCCAAGGGCACTTTTCCGAAAAAAAACCAATGCATTCTAAACATTTAGTAAATTTTTAGTAAAGCGCGATTTTACTTTTTTTTTTTTTTTTTTTAAAAGTTAACAATAAAAAAATTTTTGGGAGGCGTTTTCTCAAATTTGGCTTGGGGTTTCCATATTTTTTGATAGTAAGATTAATCACCCCCCCGGGGGGAAAAGTTTTCCCCCCCCCCCCCCCCCCCTTGATAAACCCGGGCCCATTTTCTGGGGTTTTTTTGATTTTTCGTTTTTCTTTTGCAACATGTTTGTATAAAAAATTTTTACCTTTATTTTTCGCCCCAAAAGACGAAATAGGTTTTAGAGGAAAAAAAAAAAGGGAAAAAAAAATTTTAAAAAAACCTATGGGACCTGCGGACACAGTACAGGAGATGACCAGGGGGATGGGGAACAGTACAGGGAGATGCCCAGAGACTGGGCCCATATTTAAGGAAAATGACCGGGGGACTGGGGACGACAGGAGATGCCCAGGGGACTGCGGCCCTAGTACAGGAGGTGACCAGAGACTGCGGACATGTACAGGGGGATGACCAGAGACTGCGGAACAGTCCCGGAGAAAACCGGGAGATGGGGGACATAGTCCAGGAGATGACCAGAGACTGCGGACACAGTACAGGGGATGGACCAGAGACGGGGGGCACAGTACAGGAGATGCCAGAGACTGCGGCAAGTAAAAGGAGATGCCCAGGGGACTGGGACACAGTACAGGAGATGACCAAAAGGAATGCGGGACACAAAAGGAGATGACCGGAAAATGCGGACACGTCCCGGAAAGAGACCAGGGACTGGGGGAGAAAAAAAGGGTCCCAAGGAGGAATGACCGGGGACCTGCGGAATAGTACAGGAGAGGGACCAGAGACTGCGGACACAGTACAGGAGATGACAGGGGGGATGGGGGACAGCCCCAAGGGGAGGGCCCAGAGACTGGGGAAGCACAGGGTGCCCGGGAGCTGTGGCAGCACGGGGATGACTAGAGACTGGGGGACAGCCAGGGAGGGGCCCCAGGACTGCGGAAGAAAAGGGGATAAACCCAGAGACTGCGGGAATAGTACAGGGGTGACCAGGGGGATGCGGGCACAGTACAGAAGGGGCCCAGAGACTGGGAATATTTAAAGGAGAGGGCCCCCAGGATGCGGCCCGTACAGGAAAAACGACCAGGGGACTGCGGACATAGTA